GTCCTGTCCCTTGGGCCTTGGTTGAACAGACCCACCCCCACCTCTCTCCACCCTCCTCCAAGGGACTTGCACAGAGCCACAAGGTCTCCCCTCAGCCTCCTTTTCTCCAGGCTCAACACCCCCAGTTCCCTCAGCCACAAGGGAACTCAGCACACTTGTGCTCCAGACCCTTCCCCAGCTCCGTTCCCTTCTCTGGACACGCTCCAGAGCCTTTGCTGCCAAGTGTGTCCCTGGGACACACGACGTGACTCTCCAGGCTTTTAAGGGTCTCGTGTGGGACTTTTAAATTGCAGGTGTGGGGTCTCTACTGGCCCGATTCCAGCTCTCGGAGGGGCCGAGCACCCCGGCCCCCCTGGCCGTGCAGTTCACCAGCGAGGGAAGCACGCTCTCCAGCTGCGACATCGAGCTCGTCGGTGCCGGCTACCGCTTCTCCCTCATCAAGAAGAGGTTTGCAGCAGGTAAGTGCCTCGCCGGTGGCTCCTCTTGGGATGGCAGTGTTCCCAACGGTCCCCCCAGCTGGGCTGGCATGCCTGGGACTGCTCTTGCTGAGTGTTCAATCACAGAGGTGCCACCACAGCACGGCGTGACGGGGCAATAACTCCCTTGCATGAAATCAATCCTGCTCCCGCTTACGAGCGCCTTGAATATCATGGGCTCTTTTCTACTCGCGGGTCCTGCATGAAAAGCAAGATCTGGGGATCTCCAGGAAGAGATTTTACCCCATTGTTGCAGGAAAATACAAGTATTTTTCCTTTTGCCTCGTTGCTGCTTAGAAATACGAGTATTTTTTCCATGTGCTGCTTGTGCATCGTGGCCATGGGTGCGGGGGCCAGCGGAGGCGGGTGTCCATCTGCTGGGAATCGGGGCTGCTCCCTCCCTGCAGCTGATTTCTGATCCCATTTCTAGGTAAATACTTGGCCGATAACTGATGGAAGCTTATGCAAGTCTATGGAAAATAATATGGAAAATACCCAAGGACTGCTGTGCGTGGAACGGGTTTTAATTACAGTTTAAGGAAAATGAACTAAATCCTGCACTCGGGACATTTCTGTTGGAAGTGTCGACAAGTTTCAGCATTTTTTTTTCCTTGGAAAACACCGTCTTGACCAGTCCTACAGTATTTACTTCTAGATGTAACATTGTTAATGGTTTTAAAATGTAATTATTGTATTTGTAAATTGTACTCATTCCAGTAAGGCTGTATTTTGGGCAGTTAGACACTTGAGTTTTAGCATTTTACCATTCATGAAATGGATGTAATTTAAACTGTGGTATATAAATTTAATAGTAGTACTGTTGAATGGCACAATGCTTACAGAGGTAGATTACATTTTTGTCAATATATACGATTTAAATACAATACTGATAACTGTTAGGAAGGGGGTGCCTCATCAAGAGAGAGTGAAGTAGAACCGACGTGCTGATTTATTTTTTCTTCAGTCCTTAGTCTGTCTCACGGTGATGAATAAAAAGCTCTATCTTCAAGTTTAGCTGGTTTAACTCCAGAAAAATCTTGCTGTAAATGTAGAGGTTCCTAACACAGACTGCCAGCAAAAAGCAGAAGAAAAAAAAAAAATCACTTCTATAAGGAGTATTTACGTCAAATTTCCATCACTAGAAATCTCCGTGAACATGCCCTTGTTCTCTTACAGCCACAGATTAAGTGGCAGGAGTCCCAGCAGCACGTGCACAGGCGACAGGCACTGCTCTGTGCCTCACACCCTTATGTTTTGTGGAGATGCAGATAAGGAAATAAGCAAGAAAAGAGGCTCGGTAGCACCTCAGAGCTTACAGAATTGTCCAGAAAAATTATTGCTGTCTTTAAGGACATGTTTTCTGAGCATTCTCCAGATTTTTGGTTGCATTTCTACCTTCCTTTGCTTCCTTTTTCCTTTCCTCTTTCCAACCTGGTCTAGTGGAAGGTGTCCCTGCTGCTGGCAGGGGGGTTGGAACTGGATGAGCTTTAAGGTCCCTTCCAACCCAAACCAGTCTATGATTCTATGATTCTATTTTTGAAAGCCCCACAGGTTTAGAAAATGCTTTAAAGACATGCAGCCGCCCCGTGCCTTTCCATTTCACCGCTGAGGAAAGTCTATTTATACAGACCCTGGAGAACAACGCAGCCCCAGCCTGACCCTTGGTGGGACACCAAGCAGCTATCTTGTGGAGATGAGAAAACACATAAAAGTGCTAAACTGGAGGCTGTGGGTGCAAAGTTGTCCCTCTGTGTTTTCCCTGAGCCAATGCGGGCTCGGAGCTGGGTTCCTGCATTAGATGATCTTTTGAGGTCCCTTCCAATCCCTAATATTCTGTGATTGTGTGATTTCTAGGTGACATTAAGTCTCAGCCTACTGCTGGCAACAGGCTGATGGCATTCATGGCATGAACGGTGCGGCATCTGCCACGATGGAGAGCTTGTTTTAACAGGAGAATTTGGCAATATGGGGGGGGGAAAAGGAGGGATCTTTTTGAAATTAAACGCAGCTGCTGTTCAGGTGTGCAGAGAAGCAGAGGAGGATCTGCTGAACGGGGTGCTGGGGCCTCTGGAAATGTGTGAGATGATAAATAGCGCTAATTTTAGAGTCACAAATGTTGCCAGGATCAGGCTTGTGCATTTGCATTTAAAAAAAACGCAGACTGTGAGTGTTGGGAAGCGCTTGCTCACAGAGCAGTTTGGGAGTGATGTAAGAAAGGAGCCATCCGTGCTCATCTTCAAAGAAAATAAGGAAATCTGGAGATAATTCAGTTCTGAGATGACTCGTGGACCGAGATGTGGATGAGAGGGTGGTGGAGTTGTGTGCGTGCTCACAAAAGGGATCAAGACAGAAGAGAAAAAGCACAGTTCGGTGATGCAACTTCATACATCTTTGCAGTATTTCAAAGTACACTTGTCAGTGTTCCTGGGTGGAGTGTTCAACTTCGTTCAGAATTTTTTCCCCTGAAACGGAAAATATGTACAACCTGTGTAACTTACCCCTTTCTGACATAGGAATAGAGGGCAAAATCTAAGAATCAGTTATAGCATAATTGGTTCATGCTGTGTACAATTGTTATAAACTCATGCTTCCAAAAGAGATCTATGTCCTAGTCCTGAAAATAAGGATTTTTATAATGTAAATATTACCAGAACATAGATATTTTACTTTATATTTCATTTGAAAGATGAGGTGTTTACATTCACATTGGGTTTTTAAATGCTTTTTAAACAACCTCCCCCCGCCAATAACCCAAAGCTCCCAAGCTTGTCCCACTTGTGCTGTCCCACAAAACAGAGGTCACATCTTTGGGTGCGTTGTGGTGCTGGGACACAGCCCCCAAGGCCTGGGCAGAGAGAGGAGGAAGTCCTGCGCCCTTTCTGGGGCCAATTGCCTGGCAGACCCGAATTTGAAGTGCCAGTACAGGGGGACACGGTCCCCCTCCAGCCACTGGCAGGTGACACCAAACAGCTACTCCCAGCCACGACACTGGGACTAAACCCAGCGGTTTGGGACAGGTTTTTGCACACTGCTTTTGCTGATTTTTTTCACACTTTTGGTTCAATAGGCATTTGTTTGCACAGGAGCGTTGAACTGCATGTTCCTGCTTTCCCTCCCAGTACAACCACCCTTCTGGGTTCCTTTGCAAGGAGATTTTGGGCCATGTTGATGGTTTAATTTTCCTGCCCTGGCTGATGTCCGAGAAGAGCATCAGAGTGCCACAGGGATGCTTATTTTGTTGGATGTTTTTCTTCCTGCATGTTGTTTGAGGGTAGCAACCCTGCATTACCTTGTGTGGGGAGGGGGAACAGACCAGTTGTGTTTCTAAGTGTGATGTTCAGGAGCCTGGTCTGCTCTTTCTGCCTGGCTTTGAGAAGGTGTCAACAGAAAAAAAAAATATGGGCAGCAGTTTGGGATATAACAGATTTAAATTTAGAGAAAAAAAAATTATGGGCAGCAGTTTGGGATGTATCAGATTTAAATTTAGAGAAAAAAAAAGATTATGGGCAGCAGTTTGGGGTGTATCAGACAAATAGGGGCACATAGAGGGATGTGTAGAGCTTCTGTAGTAGGGGTGAGAACCCCTGGAGAGGGCCCCCAAGCTTTGCAGGCTTCACCTCTGCTTTTAGGCAGGAAAATCTGAGTATTTTCAGGGAATGCATCTGTCTGATACTGCCTGCCTGCTAGAAAAGAGCAGCGACGTCAGCAGGGTGCTGGAAAGGCAGCAACTCACTTGCATTTCTAGAGCTGAGCCTCAGCTCTCCAGTTCTGAGCGTGTGGTCCAGTAGGTCTTCTGCCAAGTTAGGCTGAGGCTGAAAAGGGGGTTCAGCCCCCCAGCACTGGTACCTCTTATCTCAGCAGCACTGGGATCTGAGTAAAAAAAAAAAAAAGGGGGATTAATAAATAGGCTGATGCATGCAGAGAAAGGTTTTAGCTTGGTTACTTCCATGGACCTTTCCCCTTAGACTGTGTCCTCAGACCACTCTTCCCTGAGGGATTTTCCTCAGGGGTCCCCAGGAGCTGCCAGTCTTTTTTATTTTATTTATTTTATTTTATTTTTATTTTAACTTTTCTTCTTCTGTTTGTTGCAAACATTCACGATTCTCAGCCAGCTTACGGCGCTCCTCACAGGAGACATTTCAGATCAATTTTCTCCTTTAACAATATTTCTTAGTAACAATGAAACTGCTCAACAGGATGAAATACTACCAGATAATAAGCTTTTCATTTGGTGTTTGCTTTTGATCTTCAATCTCACTCCTCTGTTATAAACATTTTTCTTATTTTTGCTGTGAGGCCACTGTCCATTAAACTCCTATCCCAGCCCAGCTGGTGTGAGGTCTCAGTATATACGTGTGTGGCTTCACTCGCAACAGCTTTGTCACACGAGCGTGATCTTGTACCAAGGAAGCTACACAACTAAAGATATTAGTGCTGACATTCCATATTTCAGTTAAATTCATTTTATTTTCAATATGCCCTTTCAGGATTTATCTATTAGTGGTTTTTTAAAACACAGATGGGGAAAAAAAAATAAGGTTCATGTTGAAACGATCACAGAGACCCAGGGTAGTTGTTCAGTGCTCAGTTGTAAAAATTGGTCAGCTCTTGCACGGGTGGTTATTTTCCCACCAAGGTCACTGCTGAGACGTGGCCACGCTGCCCACGCCACCACGAGTCATCCTGGTGTTCCTTTACCTAATTCTGGATGATTCAAACCAGGCGGTGATGGCATCCATCAAACCGCAGCTCCAGAGATTCCTGCC